GAAGAAGCTGGCCGTTCTTCATCTCTGCCTTTCCCCAGGCCATTTCTGACCATATTTGGAGCACGCCCTTAAATCTTCACTGGGGGCGACCCCTTCCAGGGTTTCACAGGAAGAGAGTACTCAGAGGTGGATCCCCCTTCCCTTCTTCTGGGGGCTGCCCTGGCACTGTGTACCTAGCCCCCCCCCAAGGCCACACCGGCTGGCTGTTATGGCGGGAAGCACAGTGGGGGGAATCGAACTCCCAATCTCTGCCACCGCAGCCAGATATCTAAAGCGCTGAGCTATCCCGCCAGCTTTTGCGCCCCTCAAAGTAGCCTTTGGAGTGGAATTCTAACACTCCCCCCGGTCCAAGAGAGTAACCTCTCCTGGAAAACAGCTCCTGTGGAACTCCTTTTGTGTCCATAGCCCTCACATAAATGGTTTGAACTTTAATGACAAGTAGGACAAGAATAGGTCTGGTGGCCAGTGGGAAGCGGGACTTCTGCCCTCTCCCTCCCTCCAGTTTGAGGCGATTCATTTTTTTGGCTGGATTCTGCATATAGCTTAAGGGGCTCTTTTCTCTGCCAGAAAAAGCTCCGCAAACTTTTTTGGATGAGAGGAGTGGTTCCCAGATGTTTCTTGACAACGGTTCTCAGAAGCCCTGACCATTAGCTGTGAGGTTAGGGCTTCTGAGGGCTGTTGTTCAAGGAAATTGATGATCATAGAACGATGGAGTTGGAAAGGGCCTGTAAGGCCATTGAGTCCAGCTCCCAGCTCAATGCTGAAGTCCAAGTTAAAAGATCTCTGGCAGATGGCTGTCTTGCTTTCTCTTGAAGAAAGCTAGAAGCTGTTAAAAGAGCTTCCATGTTTGGGAATCATTAATGTTTTCATAATGCTTTTACTTAATATATTTAATATAATGTTACTAATTCTTTAGTATTTGAATAAATTATGGTTTTTCACTTGTAATATTTTGCTTTTGATCATGTAAGCCAGCTTGGGCCCTTTTTTAGGACAAAGGTGGGGTAAAAATATTTTAAATAAGTAAACTCATAGAAATTACTTATTCAGACCCCTGCCTGACTTAAATTGTGCTGATTTCAGTAGATTTACTGTAGCCATTCTTGAGTTGATCCAAAACTTTAAACAAGGGGTTGGGGGTAAAAGGTGGTTTTCCAGATATTCAGACGCTGCAATTCTGATCTCCCCTAGGCCAGGCCAGCCACAAGTGAGAAATGCTGGCAGTTGAAGTCTGACAACGTCTGAACAAGGTCACCTCACTCACCCTCCTTTAAAGGCATCAATGGGGACTTGCTCCTCATGGTGCCATTGGCTAGGGCAGTGGTAACATCTTCCCCATAGAAGTCCATCTTCCAGGAGATGCAACACATCTGTTATTGCATTCACTCTTGGGAAGACTAGTAAAAACTTACTTTGTTCCAGCAGCTCATTACCTGAAGGGATGGTTAGAGTTATTCAGACTTACCAGTATTGCTTTCTTTGCACACCTTGGATCTTGCTTGCTTTAGTGTTCTTGTTGTTTTTAACTATGTGAGTATTTCTATACTTAATTACTATGAGGGCTATTTTGAGGCCATAGGCAGAATGTAATTGCAGTGCTTAGAGTGATGCCACCTAGTGCAGGCCACAATTCTGAATTTCAGATTTACACTGACACAATGGCCAGCTCTGTTTTGTCCATACATACCAGGTACTTTGTAACAAGGAAAATGGAAGGGGCCCAATGGCTCCTCACCACTCCTAATGCTTTCTTGTGCCTGCTGACCAGTGGGTAGGGTGAATTGCTCGATAGCTCAGTGGTTTAGGTGTGGTTGGGAGTTTGACTCCGCACTGTGCTTCCCTGACAGTGACTCCCTTCTAGTTTGGCAGATTTTAAATTATTAAGTTATTAAGATCCAGGAAAGGGTGGAATGCAAACCTCTCCTTCATATTCTTCCACACCTCCCATATTGAAGAACACTGCTAGTTGGACCCAAGATGTATGGGTGTTAAAGTTGGATAGCAAAGAAAGCTGACAGGGGGGAAGAAACAATTTGTTTGAAATGTGGTGCTGGAAGAGAATTTTGCAGATACTCTATAGTGTCAGAAAAAAAAAAAAACAAGTGGGCCCTAGATTGAAGTCTGAACTATCTTTAGAGGCAAAAATGCTGAAGCTGAGGCTGTCTTACTTTGGGAACATCATGAGAAGGCAGGATTCTCTGGAAAAGACAGGAATGCTGGAAAAGGTGGAAGGCAGAAGGAAAAGAGGAAGGCCAAATATGAGATGGACTGACTCCCTAAAGGAAGCCACAGTCTTGGGTTTACAAGAGCTGAGCTGGGCTGCTGAGGACAGGACATTCAGGGGATCGCTCATTATTAATTTTGAGTCCATTATTCATTTTGAATATAGCACATCGCAAAACAAACAACAGTCAGTTCTTAACAAACCATCCAGTGCTCCCTGGCCCAAGGGCAATGAGCTCTTTAAGTAACCTGCTCTAACCTTCTGTCATTATTTGGGAATCTCAACATTAAATTCCTAAGGCTTTCCATCATTCTTGCTGCATCTCCCTGTGATTCTCACAATATGTTGGTTTCTTTTAATGAGGCCTTCAACAGCTGGTGGGCACAGTAGCGCCTATAAAAACAATGGAAGCATCTGCTCATCTGCTTTTGGGGTGATGGCATCTGACAGAGCTGGAGCGTGATATTGGACCTCTTGGGTATCTGATAAAGTTGGCTGTGAAAGCTGACTGCAACGTTCATATTCAAGGTATAGTAAGACCTTTTGTTGATTTTATGGACCTCCCTCTTGCTCCAGCTCCAGCCCATCAGAGCAGTGGAATAAAATTACAACTAAATTTTTACTTTGTAAAGAGAATGTAGCTTTATACCCTCTGCTAACCTTCCTATTAAACAACATGTCTTTTGTGCCTCTCTACTGTGTGCCCTTCTGTCGAATACAGGTTTGTTTAATTGTGTTTTTGTACCACCCTTTCCCCAGAACTGGCTTACAAAGCTGTTAAAAAACTTTACCCAAAAAGCCTTGCTGGCCAGGACAGGAGAGAACGTAGGTCATCCCCTTCCCTCTCTTCCCATGAAATAACATCAATTGTAAAAGCCTATTGGTTTAGGGAAATTTCACCATGGCTTTACAGACCTCACCTATGATAAGCCTGCTTTTGCAGTACTAAAAATAAACCAAGGTGACCAAGGTTTTGTAATTATCAGCCAGAAACTCTAATTCTTCATCCGTTCATGAATTACTATGGCGCTTTTCTTACTCCTCTTGAAATTATGCTGTTTTCCCCAAATAAGACTTCCGAAACTTCTGAATCCTTGGGAAAAATCATACAGCTGCACCTGACTATAACTACAGCATGCTGCAATCAAGGGGCTATGAATGTAAAAGGACTTGATAATTAGCAAGATATGCACAAACTCATCAGGAAACTGTTATTAGTGGTGCATTATTAGGCCTCAATAGGAAACCTGCTCAGTCTAGTATCTCCTACAAAGTATTAACCTGAACGCTGGGAGAATGGAATAAAAGTTTAGGAGTTACTGGAGGCAAAATCTAGATAACGAGCCTCTTGATTTCAGTTTTGTGAACCTTAAATTCATGCAGGTCTGCAAGTAAAAAAAGGGACTGAAGCAGCAGATTTGCACTTCCTAAGTCCTCTCTGTTATGTGAGCAGGGCAAGGTTAAGTGAATTGATATAATTTGTCTTCCTTCTTTGCAAATCTTTTATCATGTGATTTTTAAACCAGCTCTAATCATCCACAGAATGGCTACATGCATAACTTGTCAAATGATTATAGCAAGAAAATTAAAAGAAAAGAGCTGCAGAAGAATCAGTACAAGGACATGATGCCTGTAAATACCCTAGCTTCACATAGGTCATTTCCTTAGTAGAAAAAAACAGCATTTTCCAAGAAAAGAAAGGAAAGAAGTGCCAGTTCTTGAACTCTAGCAGAGATGCTTGTCATTGTAGCTCAAGATAAATTGTCCCATTTATGAGATTATCCAGCATATTACTATGGTTCTGCCTGCTTGCTTTCCTCCAATGAGCATCAACACAACAGCAGATGTATTTGCAGGAAAAGCATGCTGCAAAAACATGGGAAGTAGCTCTACTGAATTTTTCAAATAGTAAATTTGTGTGTTAAGACCTTCCCTTCTCTCTATGAAAGGTAATTTCTTGGATCCAAATCAAGAGATGAAAGATGGGGACAAAAATAAAGCTAACGTCACGGAAGGGGATATCCAAGTACACCAAGGCCTTTCTTCCCTTGGCATTTTAAAAAATATCAGTGGTGTGTGTATCCTCCAGTTTCAATCTCCTCAAACTTCTCATCTCATGAAAATGGTGAGTCAAACAAAATGGAGCCTGGCTGCCATATGAAATATGGATATTTCTATACATGAATATCTGAAAATTTGGCTATGCCACAGGCCAACCTCCTCCCCCAAGTGCCTTTCCTATGTGGTGCTGCTGCCCACTCTTTACAGAAATCTGTAAAACTATGGACACCATCTTCTCAGACCATATTTATGGTACCGCAGATTTGGCTGTACATAATTCTAATATTCTTTATTCTTAGCAGAGCACTGCACAATTTAAAACTATGGTCATATATGAAACAGTTAAAAAGATTAAAATGTTAGGATGATTAGACTATTTCTGACCAGAAGCAGGCTACTTCAACACTCCTGGCCATTTACTAGATCTTTAGTACACATCGTCGTCATATAGTCGTGTCCGACTCTTCGTGACCCCATGGACCAGAGCACGCCAGGCCCTCCTATCTTCCACTGCCTCCCGGAGTTCTGTCAAATTCATGTTGGTTGCTTCGCAGACACTGTCCAGCCATCTCATCCTTGGTCGTCCCCTTCTCCTCTTGCCGTCACACTTTCCCAACATCAAGGTCTTTTCCAAGGAGTCTTCTCATGAGATGGCCAAAGTACTGGAGCCTCAGCTTCAGGATCTGTCCTTCCAGTGAGCACTCAGGGTTGATTTCCTTTAGAATTGATAGGTTTGTTCTCCTTGCAGACCAGGGGATTCTCAAGAGCCTCCTCCAGCACCACAATTCAAAGGCATCAGTTCTTCGGCGGTCTGCTTTCTTTATGGTCCAGCTCTCACTTCCATACATCACGACAGGAAAAACCATAGCTTTGACTATTCGGACTTTCGTTGGCAAGGTGATGTCTCTGCTTTTTAAGATGCTGTCAAGATTTGTCATCGCTTTCCTCCCAAGAAGCAGGCGTCTTTTAATTTCGTGGCTGCTGTCTCCATCTG